TGCCCTCGTAATGAAGAATTATTCTTATATTATTAGTTGTTGAGAATGATGAGTAGCAAGATTTTTGTTGGTTGAAAGTTAAAACTTCCCGTCTCACCCACCGCCCACCAATTGCGTGGAATAACTTGTCATTTTGCACTCTCCCACACCCCCCCCGTGACCAACCGCGTGTGAATTTCAAGATTTTTGTTGGAACTCTCCACTCCTAATAATACCACCTATTATCCCCAACGCGTCATTTCTTAACGGAACTTGACCTTATTCTAACGGGTCCCGTTTGGCAAATTTTTGAAAATTATTTCTGAATTTTATAGAAAATTTGACGTAGAAGCAGATGCAAAAATAGAAACACTGTGAAATGAGCCCTAACTCTACGTAGCCCTCGTCTAGAAGCCATTTTCAACAGATTTTTAGCAAAGCTCGGCCAGATTTTTAGCAAACTAAGCAAAATTACCTTTTTACTTTTTGACGTTTATTTCATTGTATTTGAGAGATGGACATTTCAGGAAATATGCTTGATGTTGAGTTAACAGTGACGAACACATAGGGGCCCATGTACCATTCAAACAGTCCAATTTTTTTATTTTTTATTTTATTTTAAATCCATTAAGAATTGTGCCCAGACAAGAGTGTAGTATCATTGTTTAAAGTGCCGGTTTAGATAAATTAAAATATATCTCAACCCAATGAAACATGAATTAGTGAGGCCAATGTATAATTATTCTTAACGACTAGTAGCACCATGGATGTTAGTATCAATTTAGATGAAAGTGGATCATACTGATTTACTGACACTAAATCAATGGGTCCACTTAAATAATTTTTGACAATTCTCAATCATTTTGTAGAGAAATTTGAACAATTTGACACAATTTATTGTTTGTTAACAAGTTGGTCCCTAATTCATTATTGAAAGTTGTCCATATGTTAATTAAATTGTTACCCAAGCTCATGGAAAGAAGTCTCTCTTACATTTGAAGTTGAAAAGCAAAACTTAGCTTGAACATGAAAGAGCGACACGAAAACTTAGCATAAGTTTGGACGGATTTTCGACATTGAAGCGTAATTGTGGAACTATAACGAAGGCTTTCAAACAACTTGCACCTTTATTAAAATGAAGGATCAACTTATCATTAAGACAATAGACTGGGTATCAAAATGCAATTTCCCTAATTTTGGAGCGACCTTTGCCTTTTTCTTCTGTAAACAGGTCGAAAGACAAAGAAGTGAGAAAAGAAGAAAAAGATTCAACAAGAGTGTGGGTTAAAGCCTGAATACACGTGATCAAGGGTGTCAGTTCATGTATTGCAAGTTGTATATATTATAATATAATATATATTAATGTGAATTAATTTTCAACTTTTATATGATTAATTACGAGATATATCATATATATGACTCGTTTGTCTTTCTTCAAAGCCAGCAATGTTTTCATTACAATCTCATTCATAAAAATCAGACAACTAGCACTGTCCCCACTCCAAACTCGTTTTAGAGTTGTACTTTGTATACATAGTATCACAGATTTCTCAAGACTTCCTATCATTCGTATCTACACCCTGAAAGAAATTGAAAAGATTAAAATGTTCAGATTTCAAGTGTTAGTTGTGGTGATTCTGGGTTTCTGTCAATTGTCCGTGGAAGCGAAGAAGAATGTGGAACAGAAGAAGCAAACTTACATTATTCACATGGCGAAATTTGAAATGCCTGTGAGTTTTGAAGACCACGCTCACTGGTATGACTCGTCACTCAAGTCGGTGTCGAAATCGGCTGAGATGCTTTATACTTACAGCAATGTGATCCATGGATTCTCGACTAGACTCACGGCGAAGGAAGCCCAGATCCTTGAAAATCGACCAGGGATTCTGTCGGTTTTGCCGGAGATGAAGTACGAACTTCACACTACTCGGACTCCGTCGTTTTTGGGTCTGGACCAGAATGCAAATTTGTTCCCTGAGTCTGACTCAGTGAGTGAAGTCGTCGTCGGAGTTTTGGACACCGGTGTATGGCCGGAGAGCAAGAGCTTTGATGATACTGGGTTTGGACCGATCCCAAGTTCATGGAAAGGTGAATGTGAATCTGGAACAAATTTCACTTCATCCAACTGTAATAGAAAATTGATCGGAGCGAGGTTTTTTTCAAGAGGCTACGAGGCGGCTCTCGGCCCAGTTGACGCAACCAAAGAATCAAGATCACCACGAGATGACGACGGTCATGGCACGCACACATCCTCTACGGCGGCAGGCTCAATTGTTTCCGATGCAAATCTCTTGGGCTACGCCGCAGGGACGGCTCGTGGGATGGCCGCGCGCGCAAGGGTAGCAGTCTATAAAGTCTGTTGGCTCGGCGGCTGTTTCAGCTCCGACATTCTGGCAGCCATGGATAAAGCCATTTATGACAACGTTAATGTGCTGTCCTTATCTCTCGGCGGTAGCATGTCAGATTATTACAGGGACAGTGTTGCAATTGGAGCTTTTGCTGCAATGGAGAAGGGCATTTTTGTCTCTTGCTCCGCCGGAAATGCAGGCCCCAGTTCGGACAGTTTGTCCAACGTGGCACCGTGGATTACCACTGTCGGCGCCGGAACGTTGGACCGTGACTTCCCGGCGTACGTTAGCCTCGGTAATGGTCAAAATTACTCCGGCGTTTCACTTTACAGAGGTGACTCGTTGCCCGGGAAATTGCTTCCCTTTATTTACGCCGGCAATGCGAGCAATGCCACCAGTGGGAATCTTTGCATGACGGGCACATTAAATCCTGAAAAGGTTAGCGGTAAAATTGTGTTATGTGAACGTGGAGTGAACCCAAGAGTTCAAAAGGGTTATGTGGTAAAAGAAGCAGGTGGAATTGGCATGGTTTTGACAAATACCGCCGCGAACGGCGAGGAACTGGTGGCGGACGCCCATTTACTTCCAGCCACGGCTGTGGGTCAAAAAAGAGGTGATGCAATTAAGGATTATTTATTATCTAATCAAAATGCAACTGCCACAATTTTCTTCGAGGGCACGAAGTTGGGGATCGAACCATCACCAGTGGTTTCTGCGTTTAGCTCACGTGGCCCGAATTCGATAACCCCAGGGGTACTTAAACCGGATATGATAGCTCCAGGTGTCAATATTTTAGCAGGGTGGTCCGGCGCAGTTGGACCGACTGGCTTAGCCACAGATAAACGGCGTGTTGGCTTCAATATCATTTCAGGTACTTCAATGTCCTGTCCACACGTGAGCGGCTTAGCAGCACTACTAAAAGCTGCACATCCCGATTGGAGTCCAGCCGCTATCCGGTCAGCTCTTATGACCACGGCTTATACAGCTTACAAGGATGGGAACATGATCCAAGATGTCGCCACTGGGAAGCCATCCACGCCGTTTGATCATGGAGCTGGACACGTGGATCCCGTATCAGCCCTCAATCCAGGCCTCGTATACGACTTGACAGTTGAAGATCATTTGAATTTTCTTTGTGCATTGAATTACACGGCTCAACAAATCAACAGCCTAGCCAGAAGAAATTTCAGCTGCGACTCTAGCAAACAATACAGCCTGAATGACCTAAATTACCCTTCATTTGCAGTATCAATTCAATCACAAATGGGTAGTACCAATGAGGTTAAGCACACAAGAACACTGACTAACGTTGGATCACCTGGTATGTACAAGGTTTCTGTTTCTACAACCAGCGCATCGGTCAAGATTTCAGTTGAGCCTGCTACGTTGACTTTCAGTCAAACGAACGAGAAAAAATCGTATACGGTGACATTCAGTACAACTTCAAAGGCATCAAAGACAAATGTGTTTGGTAGAATTGTATGGTCTGATGGGAAGCATAGTGTTGGAAGTCCAGTGGCTATTAGTTGGACTTAGAGTAAGACCACGTTCGATCGTGCTTAAAAGTATCTAAAAGATACTTATTTGGGCAGTTCCCGTTTTAACGTTTTATTGTTCTTAAAAGCTCTTTTGCGAGTACTACACAAAAGAGCGAATAAAAAAATGAGAGGGAGGGCGGAGTTTGAAGCGGGCAAAGCTCGATGTCCATGGATTGAACTCAAAAATAGTATTTGGCTCGCTCAAAGGGAGTGAGTAGAAGTTGTTTTAGTAATTTTAATTTATGATAAGATGATGAAATTATTGTTTTCCTTTTTCATTCAACTAGTGACAAGATTGGGTTGATGGAAATAAATTAAATAATATAGCCTCCAAGTCTAGAAGATGGTTAAAGCTACAACTATGGAAGTAAAAGATTCCGAAACAAAGTTAATAGAATCATGTTGGAGATGCAAGTAATATGGACATAAAAGACAAATTACCTAAATAGGATTTGGTCCTACTAATCAAGTTCTAGTGTCTTGTCTATCTAGTCGCAATGATGATGGATATCCACTATTTTGGATTTAGTTAACAATTCTGCCAAGCATCTAGTCACTACGTTGAGCATCCACCAAAGTGATTATTGCTTTAATCCACTAAAAATCAACAAAGATTACGAAATATATGGTATTATTCAGTTTCAATTATGCATGCTAAATTAAGACATAGTACTAATGCAACCCAACATACCAAGAAAACACATGAATACTATTAAAACATCAAACTTAATTTAGCAGAATTGAATATATTATATAATCAATCTCAAAATTTTTTAGATACATCGAGTACATAAAAAATATATATATCCATTTAAGCGCAAAATATCTACTACATCAAAAACATATATAACAAAATGAACCTAACTACTCCCCATTTTTGTCACAAAATGACAAGGGCAAACACCGTAACTAAAGAATATAAAAAATATTTTGCACCCTCACTTTTATTATGAAATAAAAGCATTAACACATACTAACTTGAAAACACTGTTATGAATCAGCCACAAAGATAAGCAAGGAACAGTAAATTTTTCACATACTTAGTTCAAGTTATAATGGAGGAAATTTTATAAGCTCATATGTGTAAAGATAAGTTTTTTTTTTTTTTTTTTGAAGTACTAAAAACTAGTTCTTTAACCCATTTGTAGTATGTCGCACTCCTAAATTAGGATTTTTCTTCTTGTACTGGGGGGTGTACCCCTCATGTGAGGGGGCCGATAGGGGGGTTGTACACCCCGCTACGAATAGTGCGGTTCCTATATTATGCTATCAGATAGTCATCAACTCTTCATCTTTACGACACGGCTAAACCTAAACACACTAATATCCACTTAAGTATGAGCCCATGGTTAAGCACGTAGTTCAATAAATAACAAATTTATTCGAAATTGTGATTGTGTTTGTACGTCCAAAGTCAAGTAAGCTCAGCATTCTGACAGTGCCTAATATTTTTAGGATATATTATAATTTACGTTTATTAATAATTAATATTTTATCTATTTTGAGTTGAATAAGTCAATATAGGTTATGTACTTGAGTAGAGGAGCACAAAAGATATTTTTCCTTTTACTTTTTTCATCTAAAATATATTTATGTGGTTTATAATGTTAAATATATTAGTTTTATTTTATCTTAAGGGTAGATTAATCATTTTACGTATGTCAGTATTTAAAGCTGAATTTTCATTGATTCAGTTTTATCAGAAAAACCCTAGAGTCTTTTGTTTTTTCTCTCTATAATTTTTTTGTATTATAAATTTAACATGGTATCAGAGCCACCATCTTATGAAGTTTGAGCAATAAAGGATTGATTAAGTTTTGAAAGGAGAATGAATTGCTGTCGACGACAATAGAGCTTCTGAAAATCAATATGAAACTGGAAAACTGAGGGATAGTGGTCAATTAGGAAACTGATGGTGAATTGCAGCAAGTGGATCGGTCACTTTTCCATGAATTATGAGTGGTCAATTAGGAAACTGATGGTGAATTGCAGCAAGTGGATCGGTCACTTTTCCATGAATTATGAGTGGTCAATTAGGAAACTGATGGTGAATTGCAGCAAGTGGATCGGTCACTTTTCCATGAATTATGAGTGGTCAATTAGGAAACTGATGGTGAATTGCAGCAAGTGGATCGGTCACTTTTCCATGAATTATGAGTGGGATGCCTTCATTGCAGTAAGTGGGTCGGTCATTTATGAGTGGGATGCCTTCAAAGGCTTAGAATATTGGGCTATTGAATGATTTAGTACACGTTTGGCAGTTTATATGCGATCGTACAATTGGCTTCTGCTAAAATTTGTTCGACTTTGTTTTGTATTTTGTCATATGTGAAAATTACAAAAAATCAGTTGTTTAAACTTCCTAATTCAAAATTCAGGTACAAGTTTTATCTAATCAAAAATCAGGTATGAATTAAATATTTAAATAATATTATAATACTAATATTTCAAACACTAATTCATTTTCAATCCATATTTTCTCTCACTACTTTCTCTCACCCTCTCCTCTTCCTCCATAATCGACCGCCGCCGCCGCCGCCTCCCTCCCTCCCTCCCTCACAAATGTCCCAGCAGCGAAATCGCTGCTGGGACATTTTCCCAGCAGCACGAAATAGCTGCTGGGAAAACCAGCAGCGAACCAGCAGCGATTTCGCTGCTGGGACATTTTATCTTAGTGGCGGAGTGGAAGTGTGTAGTGGTGTTGTGTCGGGGTGTGTTGGTGGTGGTGGTGACTGTTGATGCTGGTTGTAGTGGTAAATGCGGAGATGTTCCGATTGCAGACACCATTGCAGCTTTGCCAGTGAGAACCGTCGTAGTGTTGGTGACGGTGGTGTGGTGTGGTGTGTGACCTCTATTTGGTGTATGTGACCAATTACTTGGTTATGTAACCAAGTATTTGAGGATATGTGACCAAATATTTGGTAATTTGTGACTGATTACTCAACTGTGACCTAAAAATTTAGTAATATGTGACTCAAAAATAATCTGTGACCAACCAGTTTTTGAAATATGTGATCGTGTGACCTATACATTTTGATATGTGACCATGTGACCTATAAATCTTGATATGTGATTAACTAAATTTGAAATATGTGAACAACGAAATAATTGTGACTTACAAAATTTTTGAACTGTGACCGTAAAATAATATGTGACGTATAAAAATTATTATCCGTGACTGAAAAATAATATGTGTCTGACTAAATTGTAAATCTGTGACCAAAATGTGACCTAAAAATATAATAATACGTAACTCTTTAAAAATCTGTGATCTTGAAATAATATGTGACCAATTAATTTAAAAATCTTCGACCTCGCCGAAATGGTCGCCGGAATCGGAGCAGTCGCCGGAGAAGAGTGGTGGTCAGAATGGTCGTCGGAATAGTCATCGGAGCAGGGGGTGGTGCATGTGGGGTGAGTTTATTATATTATATTATATTAGGATTAAAAAAAAAAACTTGATTTTTGAATTTTCAAACTATAAACCTTATTTTTGAATTGGTGTAAAGAATACACATTATTTATGAATTTTTCCCTTGTCATATTGGTAATTATTTGTTTATTTCGCAATGGCTGGAAGTCGGGATGATTCTCTTCAATTTATTAGTGTGTGTTGACATACTAAAAGTGCAGCCCAAATTAAATAGCCTAAAGAGTGAAGCCCAATTGGGGAGTCCAGGATAAATGTCCAAATAAGATTATTGATGAATGCAGGGGAAGCCCACGAACATAGTAACATCATCGCCCAAACTTGCAAGACGCCCAAAATCTGAGCGAATGGAGTGCCTTAGGGTCTCCCAGAGCGATGACCCCGTTCTCGCACAAACCTTTGAATCGCCCAAGATCTTAACAAATATGAGATATTATGGTTATCTAGAATAGCAGTTATTGAAGCAGTTATCGAGCAGTTTTATCACATTCCACGATTCAAGGAGCCCAGTTGAAGGCGGTTGAACGACAAGAGTAATAGTAACAGTTAGAGATGACAGTTCCACGACAAGTTAGCTACCATGAAGAAAGTTGGTAGTTGTAGAGCAATCAAGCAGTTTTCAAGCAGTTTGTCACGAAAAAATCATCAAGGGAATATAAAAAGGAAGAGAAGATATAGAGAAAAGACCCAGAATCAAAAACTCTCAAATAGAGAATATGTAATTTCAATTTCTTAGCTTAACTTTAATTATTAATTTTCAGTACTCATGTGCTTGCGCCCCTTGGAGGCATTCTGTCTATTTCCAATTGTAACTTTCATCAATAAAACACCCATTTTTGGGACTTTGTCTCATGAGGTTTGTCCCTTACACAATCGTCTGAATCTTTTTTAATTGTTAGCGACTACCCAAGCGAAACAGTGTGCAATTAAATGGGAGGAATTATTCTTATTGGAGTTATGTGATGAAAATTTTTTTGAAGGGCAAAAAGATGTGGGGTTATGTTTCGGGCACTTCCGTTAAACCAAAAAATGATAAGGCCGTCAATTATGTGGAGTTGATAGATAATTGGGAATATGATAATTCGAAGATGATTACTTGGATTAATAATTCTATTGTGCAGTCGATAGACACACAATTAGCTAAGTATGATACCGCTAAGGAAGTTTGGGAGCACCTATCGACTGTACACGCAGTCAATTTTGCAAAACAATATCTGTTAGAGATATATATTTGCACTCTTCAACAAAAAATATGAGTATTCAGGAATTTTATTCTGCTATGACAGATTTATGAGATCAATTGGCACTTACAAAATCTGCAGAATTACAAGCATTTGAACCTTATATCACTCGACGGGAAGAACAACACCTAGTTCAATTTTTGAAGGAGCTACGTGATGATGATGAGGGACTTCGTGGGACAATCTTGCATCGTAGTCCTCTTCCTTCTGTTGATTCTGTGGTTAGTGAATTGTTGGCTGAGGAGATACGCCTTAAATCTCACACGGATAAGGGGACTGCTCCATCATCTACTACTTTATCTGTATTCGCAGCACCTCAAAGGTCAC